CTGTAACAGAGCCAGGTGACACTGGGGTACGTAAATGAGTTGCTGGCCTGCCTCAGGAAGGAACGCCAGAGAGACACTGAGCTGAACAATGACCTCTGCTCATTTATCCCTGGGATTAAAAGAATTTTTAAAAAATCCATGACTTTTTACTGACAAACTCGCCAGTGCTTAGGCTACCAGGAGGAGGCGATACTGAGCGACAAACGGCACATTTGTTTATTAGGCCAGTGACAAATTTCAAAATCCAGATTCCAGCTCCCACCTGTGCAGCTCCCAGCAAACAGCATAGACACACATTTTCTTTTGCGTCATCCTGCGAATGTTAATACGGAGCCAATCGATCGAACGATCAATCTTCTGAATGATTAATGGCTACAGCAGCTAAATGTCACATGGTGTCTCCAGTCTGCATGGAACCAGTGTGCTGACATGGAGGACAGCATGATGGACTGAAAGAGGGCAGTGCTTTCGAGGAACTCAGGCCTGGATTCGGAAACCTCTCCGACGTTATATGTGGCATGAGACCCCATAGAGATACAAAACAGGCCGTTTCCCAAAAAGCCCAACTGTACGGCGCTTCATTAACAAATAAAGGGAAGCACACCACCATGGAACCATCAGCTAAAACTCCCAGGAAGATTAATGAACGCAGATGTAATACAGTGAGCCATTTAAACGGTACCTGCAGGCTTTTTTAACACCTGCACTATTAATCATCACCAGCAGGGGGCGGAATGAAACCTGGTTTATTCAGAGCAACCTCTTCTGTTCTAGACAGGATGTAAACCGCACTCAGTGGCCCAGGTGTGATTCACTTGCTGGTCAGATACGAGGGCACGGTAAAAAAAAAAAAAAAAAAACTCGATCCCAAGCTCCATGGGCATGCTGATTATGCAGCGGCGCCCTCTACTGACGGCACAGGTGGGGACAACTCTGCTCAAATGGGAGGGCGGGGAACTCACAGCTTCTGCACCTCAGGCCACAGTGTATTCTGGAGCAGGTGGTCTTCTGGGGGCGGACCTGTCAACACAGAGAGAGCCAGTCATTCATAACCGGAGTCGGCCGGGCTGCCGCCCTGGAGCAAACGCGGCCAGCAGAGCCGCCCAAAATCCTGCCAGGACATAAGGTCCCGAAAGGTGTCCGATTCTTTACACTCCGTCACAAAAAACAGCAAAATGAAATTCTCCAAAAGTGTTCCAAATGATCAGATGTATCCCCATTAACGTGCTATCTGGGAATTCGGTGGAATACAAAGCTCTGATTTCATGAACGCACATGTCAGGCTGAGGGGGAGGAAGTAAGACTCCGGGTACTGATCCGACACGCTGCTGAACTCCTGCTCCGCTTTGTCGCTCGGGGGCGCCAGATCACCTGCGGGAGCAGAGGGGTCACTCAGCGCCGGGAGATTGGGGCGAACGCCATCAGCCCAGCAGCGGAGCAAGAAAGAAACGTGATGAGTGAATAGCCAGAGAGCGAGAACAGAACATATGGATAAAATGCCCTTAAATACAAAATGCTCAGTGTGGAATTGGGGCTTGGAGGTCTGGGCTCACCTCGGTACACGGCCTTGTTGGACAGGCCAAGGGCGGGAATGCTGGCCCCTTCCGGAAGGCCGGAAGCTTCCTGATGGGAGATAAATGCACGGATTGGGGGGGTCAGGATCGCACTCAAGATGCAGTACTATGCATCTTAGAAACACACGTCAGGATAGATATATGTGAATAGAATGAAAACCAGGTTCCAACGCAAGCCTGGGGGGGGGTGGTGCTTAAACTGAGGGGTTGGGGTGAGGGACTCACACTGTCAGCTAACAGCTTGTCCAGGCACACCCCCGTGATGCTGGCGAAGTTCTCCACAAAGTTCCGCGTGGCCCGGAACGCACGCAGCACTTTCTCGTCCGCCCCGGACACAAACTGGAAGCGGCCCACCATGGTGAGGCACTGCATGTCGTAACCGTGGATCTGGGGCCGGGAAACCTCGTGCCACGTCACCTGAGGACCAGAGAGAGCATGTGGCCGCTCCTGCTAGAGACAGCACCCAAGTCTTCCTAAGCTAACTTCTTCATTTCTAATTCTGCAAGAAAAAAAAAACCACTCATTTCGCTCAAAACTGCAGGATAATGATCCAATTCTCAAACAAATCCCTATTTAACGCTTCAGCTACCTGACAAGAAAGAAAACAATCAGGCCGACACTGTTTTCCGTAAGGTGGGGAATTTGGTAAAGATACACTAACGTTAATAGTCTCAGTCTGGCAAGACTTTGCTGTCCGAGATCTCAAAAGGCAATTTCAACCCACTACGGAAATAACATTCCAGCAAGATCTGCCAAAACCATCGAGCCTAAATAAATCTTCTGCAAAGCAGACAGCTAACAGCCCTCAGGAGTCATGAATCTTCCATTAAAATCATATATGCCTGAGACTATAACAGCTTATGAAGACTGATGCTCTTTCTAAAGCCCACCGGTGCCCTGAGGGACGTAGGACCCCTGAGAGCTTGGGGGGGGGGGTACCTCAGCTTGCCTGTCCCGCTTCCATGGTGTGAACATCCTGGTTGTCTGGTCAGAGCCCACAGTAACCAGGAAATCTCCATCGGGGTCCCAGCTGAGGTCCTGAACCACGCCGGAGTGTCCAGATATCACCACCCCTGGGGTCCAGTTCCCCTGGAGGGGTGACACTATGGGTGAATCCCAGTAGGTGTACCTGACCGTACCCATGTTCTCACGTACGCATCTTCCATTGCCGAGGACCATTTCCAATGCTAAGAACACAAACAGAGAGGATGGTAAAAATCACTGGATGTTGGTCTTGCTCCGCCCCAAATATCAAGGACACATTTGGTGCATCCTTGCCGAACGAGACCAATCCCATGATTCATTGCTTGTTCTTAGTTCGTTCTTGGAAGGCAATTTAGCAAGACTGGTCTGGCGAAGACCACGAGTACGGTCTTGCATTCTTGGTACTGAGATACACAGCAGCACATAGACGACGCAGAGAAAGACAGCAGTTATGTTTTAAACGTTTCCCAAAATAACAGAAATAACAGCGGCAACGAACATACTGCAACCCCCCCCCCCCGCCAAAGCTATCCCTCTGGCTGTGGTGGACAGCGCCCCCACCTGGTCAGCATCATCCCGGCGCCAGAGGTGCAGAGCGCCATGAAAGGCGTGTGCTACAATCATGGATCCATCAGGGCTCATCTGACAGCCGTAGAATCCCAGTGTGTTCCCCCCCACCTCTCCAACGCGCACCTGGGGATGAAAAGCAGGCAAACTTTGGGTCATGACACATCTCATCAGGGTGTGTGTGTGTGTGTATGGGGGGGGGCGGTTTTCCCATTCTGCTGGGAAAATCAAAGGAACACCATCAGTAATAAGTGTGAACCAAGGGGCCCCCCGCCCCCCGCCCCCCCACCCACCCAAAATGTCAGCATCAGCAGAGCTCAGAGCAGCCCCCACTATCGGATAATTTGGGTCACCGCTTCTGAGAAGCTGCAGGCTGGAATGTGCCTGACGTGTGTGAAATATGCAGCTGCAAAGACAGCACTACTGAGTAATAATTACACCCCAAAACACAAATATAAGGGATGATGGCTTCTGTTACCAGGGGCGTCAATGACCCTAAATGGAGGCTGGCCTCCCAGCCAGCAGGAGGCAGCATGGAGTATTGAGACACCATTCAGAGCAGCCGTCCCCAGCAGCACCTGCTGAGGGAGACATTCTCTCCCTCCACAAGTATTTACATATTTGCCACGTACTTGTACGGTGTGATTTTTCCACCAGCACAACAACCCTGGGGGTGTGGCTCTGTCCCTCCCCACGCCTCACCGAGACAGATCTTCTGGGAAATAGTTAGACGGCAGTAAGCATGGTAAGAAGGATCCAGGCAAGCCCCCCCCCC